AGCCATCATTGTTGTTTGGTGGGCCCGGGCTGGGGATTCGAACCCGCCACCTTAGGTGTATGTGGCTGGTGCCTTAGCCACTTGAGCCACAGGCGCCGAGCCAGGCTAATTTCTCTTAAAGAACTGTTTGAGAAAGATAGAAGGCGAAGTATTCGATCAATGATTGACTTGAAGAGCTCATGTGGTCGTATCAGGTGTTTTCTTTTTCTTTTTTTTTTTTTTTTTTGAGACAGAGTCAATGTTGCCCTCGGTAGGGTGCCAAGCGATCGCAATTCACAGCAACCTTAAACTCTTGGGCTTAAGCCATTCTCTTGCCTCAGCTTCCCAAGTAGCTGGGACTACAGGCGCCCTCCACAATGCCCAACTGCTTTTTTTGCTGTTGTTTGGCTGGCCTGGTGTATATGGCCGTCGCCCTAGTCACTGATTTACAGGCACCAAGCCCCTATTGGGTGTTTTGTACATGATTCTAAGGTTCAGGAAAATTAAGCAACTTACCAAGTGAGGCATCTGCTTGGTATACCAGAGTCACAGAGCCCTGGGTTTAGTAGCCTATGATTAATAGGGAGGAATGGGTCTATCCTAGGAATTCCATCATTGGCAGTAATTAAGTGTAGTATTTAAAGGAGTGAATTATGTTTTTCTAGAAATTATACTTACATAGAAAACCCAATTACTAAATAAGTAAATCAGTTGCTATTAGATCTACTGTTGGGAAGCAGTAGCTTTTAATCACCTGTTGGTGGTAGTAGAGTCTTCCCAAATCTTCAAGTGTTAGGCAGATTATGTGTAACCCCAGGTTTAGTGGGTAGACTTTGAATTAGTGATGGAGGGTGGGATGCATTGACTCTTCCTGAAAGGAGCAAGTGCCACTCTGCACCCACATCTCATTGGCATGTGAATGCGGGCTAAGCAATACTAAATCTTCTTTATTAATATAATTTCATTTAATCTTCCTGTCAATCTTACAAAGCGTTTAAATAAGGAAACTGAAACAGGGAGAGGCTAATGTGTGGCACTGGGTTTTGGATTCAGGTGTGACTTAGGAACCTAATAAGATCTCTAACAGTTGTGGGTTGTTTTTATTTCTGTTCTCCCAAATTTTTTCTTTTTTTTTAAGTTTATTTTGTTGTTGTTGTAGTTGTCATTGTTGTTTTAGCTGGCTGGGGCTGGGTTTGAACCTGCCACCCTCGGCATATGGGGTCAGTGCCCTACCCACTGAGCCATAGGCGATGCCCTCTCCCAAATTTTCTTAAAGGAATAATCCCTGTAATCCTAGCACTCTGGAAAGCCAAAGTGAATGGACTGCCAAGTGAGGCATCTGCTTGATGTACCACTTTAAGACCAGCCTGAGCAAGAGTGAGACCCCCGTCTCTAGGAAAAATAGAAAAAACTGAGACAAGAGGATTTCTTGAGCCCAAGGGTTGGAGGTTTGCTATGTGCTATGATGATGCCCTGGCACTCTACCTAGGGTGACAGCTTGAAACTGTCTTAAAAAAAAAAAAAATTAAATAAAGTAATGTATAATCCTTGCATGGTTAAGATGAAAAAAAAAAACCAACTAGTACAACCTACTTTTTTGTTAAGAAACTTAAAGTCTAGAACAGTGGTTCTCAACCTGTGGGTTGCAACCCACAGGAACTATATTAATGGGCTGTGGGATTAGAAAGGTTGAGAACCACTGGTCTAGAAGATTGTACTTGTTAAGGCCACACCATTAAGACAGTGCCAGATCCTGGAGTAGACTCCAGTTCTGCAGTCTTCATAAACTGAATAAATTTGTTGTGTTTAACTTTGGATGAGGTGCACAAAAGGAAGAGAACTAGTCCTTTTGTAAAAGCACCTTATTGTGAGAACTTAGCCCTCTTGTGCATCTTTTGCTCAGATGTTCATGTTACATTTTGCCTCTTTGTGACATGACTCAGTGTATGTCCATTCCAAGCAGAAAGAGCTTGGCTGCCCCCTTATCAGTAATTTAACAGACTGCTTATTGTTTAGCCCATGTACGTGGAAACAGGCTGAGCCATCTTGTCATGAACTTTTATAATGACACTTCATGAGTACATTCAAGCTACTGTTTGGTTTCACCAGTTTACCACCTGGAGGCTTGAGTACAGCAGCTGGGCCCAGAGACTACTGAGAGCTTCTTGAGCTATGCTCTTGCTCAAAGACAGGCACTTTTTATATTCACGAAGGTGGCTTTGGTGAGAAAAGCCTGTATCTTAGGTGGTACAAGAGTAGGCTCAGATCCCAGTTCTGTCACTTTAGGAGCCAATATCCTTAAGGAGATCACTCTTGAGCAAATTTCTTTCTCTATCTCTGCTTAGGTCTCTAATTTCCTTTTCTCCTTCAAGGGGCCAACTGCAGCCTGCTAAACTCCGTGTCCTTTTCTGAATCTGCCAGGCTCTAGACTTCTTGTTTTCTGCTGTACTTGCTGGGAAATCCATTTCCTAGCCACTGCCCCTTCTCCCCAATCTAGCTATTTCTTGCCTGTCCTTTAGCAGTGATATCACCTATTCTGACTATGTACTCCTCACCTAGGCTGGGTTAGGTACCTTTTCCTCATCCAGCTTTGCTTACTTCTGTTAGTTTTAATACATTCTCTTATAATTGCCTTTACATGTCCCCACCAAAAGTAATTTGCCCATAGTTCATCAAAAAATATTTGTTAAACATATCAGTTCTCAGAAATAATCAGCACTTACCTCACAGAGTGGTTGAGAGAATCTATAAACTGTAAACTGTCATTTGGACTAGTGTTGACCCTAGCCCCTCTTTCTTTTAGCAATGCCCTGAAGAATATGCTTATTCTCCCGTTCTTGCCCAAACCTGTCCACGGTGCCCTAGGAGGCCCATTTTCTGAAAAAGATAACCTTGAGCTTCTGGGTTTTGTAGGTGTCTGTACTTGAGATCCGACGATGTAGTAGAAGGCAACTGTGCTGAAGAATTACTACAAAATTCCCATCGCATTGTGGAAGAGTATTTTGTGGCCCCCCCAGGTACGTGTTCCCCAGAGTGGTTTAACAAATAGTACAGTTAGTCTCACAGTAACCTAAGGAATGAAGCAGTAGCTGTGAGAACCAAAGATGTTATGTGAAGGTACTTTGAAAACATTAATGTGATGGTGCCATTGAGATGGCAAGAGTTTGGGGTCATACTTACCTCTACAGGGGCAAACTAACAGGAATGAGCAAAACAGGACTGGGGGGGAGGGTGTATAGCAGGTGACAAATCTGGAACTCAAGCTTGGTGGCTCATGCCTGGAATCCTAGCACCCTGGGAGGTGGAGGCAGGTGGATTGCCTGAGCTCAGGTCCAAGACCAGCCTGAGCCAGACCTCATCTCTTTAAAAAAAAAAAAAAAATAGCCAGGCATTGTGGAGGGCACCTGTAGTCCCAGCTACTCAGGAGCCTGAGGCAAGAGAATTGCTTGAGCCCAAGAGTTTGAGGTTGCTGTGAGCTATGGCACCACAGCACTCTAACAAGAGTGACAAAGTAAGACTCTGTCTCAAAAAAAAAGAAAGAAAAAGAAAAACAGGATAGTATAGTAGCTATACTTAGTCCCACTGCTTATTTTCCACGACTAAGTAATCAGCTCAATAGAGTATGTTGGGCAGGAGGCTCAGCTGTAACATTCTTTTTTGTTACTATTTTCAAACAGGTAATATCCCTTTGCCAAAGCTGGATGAACAAGAGCCTGTCCTGCACAGCTGAGTAGCTATTTTGGGAAGGGGGTACCCTGTGGACACATGGAAGTGCAATAATATTTGTTATTGTTAACACTAGTGTTCTCACTTCTTTCAGTCACCTAAAAAAAATGGAGGTTCAGGTCGGGTGCCATGGCTCACACCTGTAATCCCAGCATTCTAGAAGGCCAAGGTGGGCAGATCACCTGAGCTCACAAGTTTGAGACCACCCTGAGCTAGAGCGAGACTCTATCTCTAAAAATAGCTGGGTGCTGTGGTAGGCACCTGTAGTCCCAGCTACTCAGGAGGCTGAGACAGGAAGACTGCTTAAACCCAGGAATTTGAGGTTGCTATGGCTTAGGAACTCTAGTCTGGGCAACAGAATGAGACTCTGTCTCAAAAAAAAAAAAAAAAGACACATTGAGCTAGCCAAAACAAGGCAATGAGTTGTTGCTATTATAAGTGAAAGAGCAAAAGTCAATGTCCAAGGAAATGGTCAAGTATTCACTTACCAGGCCTTTTCAACATGGAAGACATTATCCTCTATCTCTCCCTCAGAAAGACTATCAGTCTTTTTCTCAGGATAAAAGTGAATTTTTCTTTTTACATAACTCAGAGACAGAATCCTTGATCACTAAATAACAACCCAAGTTATCATTTTTAGTTGCTATTTCTTTTTATTTGAACAGCCCTATCTTTACCAAAAATACCTGAATACCCTGAGTACCCATTTTGTTTCTAGCAGAGAATCGTTTTGCTAAAGTCTGAAAAGTATTCAAAGTACACTACAGTTTGGGAACTCATAACCTAGAACCATCTGCCAGTCCACAAAATGACTGTATGCAAAAGGGATCTAATCATACCTGGTGTTGCTCTAAGAGAACTTACCAAAAATAGCACTGGCCTAAAACAAAGCAGCACTCTCTACCCCCATTAAGATTATTAAATTAAGATAAATCCAAGATTGTGGGATTATTTTTTAAAAAGTTCAGACACCAAAGATAAATGAGACTTATTTAGAGGCAAAAAAAAAAAAAAAAAAAAAACCTGATTGGTTGAACCAGACCTTAGAGCAGTGGTTTTCAACCTTCCTAATGCCACAACCCTTTAATACAGTTCCTCATGTTGTGGTGACCCCCAACCATAAAATTATTTTCATTACTATGTAGCAGTTTTATGGTTGGGGGGTCACCACAACATGAGAAACGATATTAAAGGGTTGCGGCATTAGGAAGGTTGAAAACCACTGCCTTAAAGGGTTTTTTTTTCCCCTCAATGAAACTGTCAAAGGTGGTTTTGGCTAAGAATTTCTGGCCAGGCACTGTGGCTCACGCCTATAATCATAGCACACTGGGAGGCCAAGGTACATGGACTAACGATATACCTGCCTGAGCAACAGCAAAGACCCCATCTAGACTAAATATAGAAAAACTAGCCGGGCATTGTGGTGGGGGCTTATAGTCCTAGCTACTTGGGAGGCCGAGGCAGGGGATCACTTCAGCCCAAGAATTTGAGGTTACTGTGAGCTCTGATACCACAGCATTCTTCCTGGGGTGACACAGTGAGACTATGTCTCCCCCCTGCCCCCCCCCCAAAAAAAATTCCAATAGTCTTTGTGCTAATTATTTTCTTCTTGCTTCAGCCTCCCAAGTAGCTGGGACTACAGGCACCCACCACAAAACCTGGCTATTCTTTTGGAGATGGGGTCTCACTCTAGCTCAAGCTGGTCTCAAATGTTGTGATCTCAGGTGATCCACCTGCATCTGCCGCCCACAGTGTGGGGATTACAGGTGTGAGCCACCACATCCAGCCTATGTACTGTTTATTTTTAAAATCTGTTTTTATTTTTCCTATTGCCTTCTTTTATCTGCAGTGTTCCCTTTTTCTTTATGGCAGCTAAGTGTACATACCTGGACTCGAATTGAAAGAAAAAAACTTTGAACCTACTCTCAGGGTTGAAGTTCTCAAACCAACATCAGAGCAACTATCTTAATCCTCAAAGTTACCCACTTCTGCTCCTTAACATCTGGTTATATTTTGCTATTACAGCTCAATGATTTTTTTTTTTTTTTAATTAGTGTGCCTTGCCTATTTGGTGAAATTTATGAACTTAATCAAGGACAACCACACATATCAATTACTAAACGTTTAAAATATATTTCTAAACAGAATGGGCCGACTCAGTCACAGTAACTGCTGATCTCCATAGCAGAACAACCCAGAAAGACAGTGCTGATTTTCTTCCCATAATCAGGGGTGAAAAATATGCAACTTGTTTCTGAACCAAAACCACAATTTCTGCAGCTTAAAATATTTCACTGCTAATATGGCCCCAGTAGAAATTATGCAGTTTTTTTCTTTAAAAAAAAAATTAAAAAAATTTCCAAAGACACTAAATCATCAATCTGGAATGTAGATTCTGAGCACAAAGCAGCTCAGTTCGCCTAAAAAATAAAGAAAACATTCTCATCACTTGTCTCAGTAGGGCCTGAAAGGAGAGAAGTAGTGTGGGGAACCCCTGCTTTGGTATGGTGAGTCACGGCCCCTTGACCCAGACCGAGACCGTGAGTAGCCATAGCTGGTGCTTCTCTCAGGATAAACTCTGATGTAGGAAGTTTCACCCTAAAATGCAAACAAAAAGTAAAGTAAAAAATAAGAGCCAAAAGACTAATAAGCAAATCAACATCTAACCTGGCTGCCTAACAAATATAGTTAAGTACTGAGCATTTAGTGTGTGTACTGTGTGCCTGATATGATGCTACCTCGTTAAACCATCATAATGTTATAAGGTAGCTTCTCGCATGTGACCCTTCCCATTTGAAGAATGAAGAAAATTAAGACTCAAGTTGTATCACTTGCCAAAAATGATGAAAGTAATAAATGGCAACTTGACATATTGATAAATATGTAAATGTTAGCTATTATTAATAAAATAACTGAATTACTGCCACTGGCCCCAGAAGCTAAAAACTAGAAAGGATCTCAGAGGTCATATAATTTAGTCCACTCTCACCTCATATATATATCTCAAGATGGGTACATATGGAAGAAGCTAACCTGTTTTTAACACCTTTGGATGTGTGAGAACATGGGCTAAATAGTCTAGTTATCCTCAGGTTAACTTATTAGTGCTTTTACGTGACCATTTTGTACATGGATGAACCAGGGTTCAGGGAGGAGCTCAGCTAAGAAATTAATAAGCAGCAGAGTCGTCATGTCTATGCTGGCCTATCTCTGCCCTCAACCCATACTCTATCCAAAGATACTAAGATGAAAAACCAGATGTTTTTTCACCTTAGACAAAAGACAATAATTGAATTTACCCTTAGTGAAGCCTTGCTTTGCAATGTAAGTGAGGACCAGGTACTGTCTTGTTTCTGCTTTAAATTCAAGTCCTACAGGACAATCTGAGCAAAAAGCATTATTAAGCCATGAACGAGTCTCCAGGCTATAAAACTAGGGAATTACATGAATCCTCAGAAAAAATGAAATGAGTCCAGAAATACATGTCCCCTCCAGATATCCTTAAACACCACAAAAAGTTGGTGTACAGTATAACCAAAAAAATGCAATGTCTAGCGGTCTAGTACCTAGTCTTAAGGGTACCAAATAGTCACCACTTGAATCAAACTGCGAGGTCTGAAGCAGCAGCTGCCTTCCTAAAAGACATCAAAAACTATATCCCAAGGGTGAAGGGATTAACAACAAGAAAATGTCACAGTGGCTGAGGTTTTGAGGACCCTGTGCCACTTTAAGAAGGGAAAAGACAAGTGACAACTCACCCTATAGAGTCCACACTAGACCCAGAGGAGCGACAGCCACAACTGTTAGGTTCACAGAAGGCTAGGTGTGAAAGGGGTGGTATCACAGAATAGCTCATCACATTGTAACAGACAACACTAGTATTTTCTCCAGGTGAATGCACCTCTCTCTGCTATGATCCTGCAGGGCTTAGGCATGGCAAATTCTTTGGCTCTATCCACGTAAGATAGATCATGGTACTGTGAGATCGTCAAAGGGCAAATTCATGCCCTGTTGCTACTTCTGCTAGGTCAGGTTCAAGTGGAGTGACCTAGGTACAAGCTGAACAGAAGGTAGAAGCCCACCTCATGAGAACGAAATTTGGTATCATCCAATTTACGCAGGGCATATTCCATGTCTTCTTTTCTGAGATACTCAACCATCCCCATTCCATCCTTCTGAACATCTGCATAACAGACATCCCCAGCTTCTCTCATGTGATCCTTCAGGTCTTGCCAGCTGCCTGATGGAGGAAGTCCTAGGTACAGAGAACATAAAAGGGCCCATATTCTTAGCCATGTTAACTGCCCTGTTAAAAGCCAGCAATACCTATCATCCCTTATTCATGACTCACTTAAATCTTGAAGGTTCCCAGATCACATCTTGATAAGGGAAACAAACCACCTTGAGAAGCTGGTCCTAGACTAACCTTCCAAGACCAAGTCTTTCCAACAGAGCAAGTCAGTCCTGTTATAGGCTTAGTACCTCTGAGAATTCACAGCCTTTCTTTCAAACTCCCAAGACTTTGAGTTTTAATTTTTTCCATTATGAAATTTAATAGTACCAATTATTTCTTACATTATCCCAGGACATAGGAATTTTGAAATCAGCCAATGAAATAACTAAAGTGTAACTGAAGGTAACAACACAACAAAAATCTAAAAATAGTTTTGTTGTTTTTTTTGTAGGTATGAATGAGTAACAAACTAGGCAAAGTACCTCTTAAGAGATCACCAACATTCTTCAATACAGTGGGAGGGAAAAGGTAAGACTCAGATGCTAAAACTAGCTGGGAGTCATACAACCCTACCTGGTATCATGAAAGGGAAATGTGCTCTTGTTCTCAAAGGCTGTGTTTACTGCTCACAGCTCAGGACTGCAGCCATTTTCTAATAGTTTTCTAAGCAGGATTTCAGAGCAGCATGGAGAGAAAAAAAGATAATGTATGACATCATGAAGGAGGGAACAGAGTTCTGGGATTAAAAAATTACAAAAGGACACAAATAGGCAGATACTGAAAGTACCACTCATAAGCACAGGAATCTGCTGTGATTATGTGACATTCACATCTCCAA